CTGGATGCCGAAGAACCACCGAGGCAATTTCCAAAGCCGAATCCTCACTAAAAAAAGATTACGGTCACAGTGTGGTGGTCATCGGCTGGTGTGATCCACTATAACTTTTTGTCGCCAGGCCAAACCGTCACAGCAGAGTTCTACTGTGAAGAAATCGACGAAATGTACGAAAATTGCGTCAGCTGTAGCCTCAACAGAAAGGGTCCGATTCTTTTGCATGACAATGCCCGCCCACACGTTTCACAAATCACTATCCATAAATTGAACGAATTGGGGGTTGAAATTCTATCTCATCCGCCATATTATCCAGACCTTTCATCAACCGCCTATCACCTTTCCAAATCTTTTCAGAACTTCCTTCCTATAAAATACTTCATCAATCAGGACCACGCAAAAAAAGCCTTCGTGAATTCCTTGGATTCTCGACCACGCAGTTTTTCCTTGATGGGATTTATCGACTGCTGTCATATTGGCAAAAGTGTGCTGATTCGAACGGTGCTTCTTTCGACTGAATCTGATGAGTATTAAGGAAGTCATGATCGTTTAAAGTGAAACACTCAAAACGCTGAGAACTTTCCGGACAATCTAATAGCACATGTGCCGCACGAAGAGCAGCGCGAGAAAAATACGACCCCCCCTGGTATATAGTACACATGAAACGGGAAAGTCGCGAACAGAGAAAAATCAACTACCAAAATAAATTTTTCTTACCCCAATTACGACCCCCCTCTCCCGGGGAACAAGCACGAACCCCCTGTTGGAGGTCTCCCGACAACGATGTGCCCTGTGTGGGATGTCAATGACCACCCACGTATAGCTAGACTTCTTCGTGAAAGCTGTGACTCAATGGTATGATGTTCATGGTGCCCTTGAACACCGAGAACCCATTGGGCATCTGCAGCGTGTTGCAGGGATGAATGGGCGGTGTTACTGGCGCCCGCTCGAGCAACACGACGATCAACGGGAGCACAGGTGATAAAAGGTGATTCAGGCGATATAAATGATGAAACACTATTTTCAGAGGGAAACCAAGGAAATAATCAATAATGTTTACTTTTTGTTCTGTTATTAAAGTGTGTTCTCCGAATTTAAACATTCAAAACGAGGAAAGCTATGGATCAGCACTACTGATAAGCCATGATTTCAATATGAAAAGTCTTTTTTTCAATAGAGCAGGCTTTAAGAAAAGTATTCAATCACTTTTGTGATCCGAAATTCTCGCTTGGCAAAGTAGCAGCAGAATGGCCGGCGGCGCAGACCGGCCGACCAGTGCACGTGTTCTTGGCATTCGGCCAACATCTTTTCAAAAAGGAGAGACGTTAATTTCCTTTTCTTCTTCCTTTTTTTGGCAAGTTTCAAAGCCTTGTGCATGGCAGGCGGCCTTTTTTTTATGAGAATACGGATTCCGGGAACAAAGACTTCGCTTATTAAGGCAGCACCTGAACGGCTGGAGCGCAAACTGGCCGAATAATACACGCTGAGAGGGCATCTGTCAGCTAGATGTTCCCTCGCTAGGGGGGTTCAGAGGCATTTTTTCCCTCCACCGCCTCGCCTAGCATTTAAGGAGAGAGGGACGGTAAGAGAGAAGAGAAAAAGAAACAAGGAAAAGTAGGGACTGGATGGAAAGCGGTAGGAAGAAACGTCGCGATTGACACGTGTTCTGAGAAAGCTAGCACACGTGTACTTGGCATTCAGCCAATATCGATTGGTAGAACGTCAACGCCTCAGCTCAGATAGCAAAGTTAAAGAGATAATGGCTTCAAGGTTTGTTAAGATGAGAAATCGTGGTGGCTAGAGGTTGCTTCTCTAAGAGTAAGTGTTATATTGATGTTGAGCGGAGGAGCTAAACATCGTCAGTCTATTTACCCACAATGTGTTCTCTTATAGGTGGAACTCATGGCAGATCTGTCCGAGGTAGCCCACAGTATGCACTTCTGCAGCTCTTGGGGCGCTTTCAAGTAAACGAGTGGTTATTGCAACCTATGCCATGCGTCAGTGGTATTCAGAGATGTACTCTAACATGCTAATCATCTAAATTCGTCAGTGAACCAGAACGGTGGTGAACGACAACACTACCACGACATCTGAAATGCTTGAAGTGGGTAGTGAATCAACAGAACCTTCCCAGGAAGTCCGCCAAATTACCATGGAACTTTGAATGGAGACGTGGATAGATCGATAGAGTCAATAAGATTATTTACAAATATAGATAGCAAAACTGCAACCTGCATTTCAAAGCAGCTTATAAGCAGGTAAAGTTTGTAATGATGCAGTAGGGTGGAGGCTTGATTGTGGGCTGTGAAGCATAAGCGAGGAATCGCATACGTCGATTGAGTCCTCGAACGTCGCACCTTGGTCAGCGTTCAGACTTCGCGACGCACGCTTCGGTCGAGCGTTCAACGCGATCGATACGCATGCTCTCGACTGCATTGATCGCGTCGAACGCGCGACCGAAGCGCTGTCGTCGCGCAGTCTGAACGCTGCCCTACCACTGAACCACCACTACTCGATTCGACGTAGCCGATTCCTCGCTTCACAGCTCACCAGCAAGTCTCCACCCTACTGCACCATCACAAACTTTACCTGCCAATAAGTTGTTTGTGAAATGCAGGTTGCAGTTTTACTATCTACCTCTGTGAATAACGTTGTAGACTCTATCGATCTACCCAGTCTCCACTAAAGGTTCCATGGAATTTGGCCGACTTACCTGGTTAGAGTAGCGCGAGGACTATAAACTAAAATGTGTAGTTTAATATGAGGTGACACACTTTACAGAATAATGATGTGGCCGATGTTGACTTTTGAATTACTGCCCATATGCAGAACTCGCACATTTGCATTCACTATGTTGCGTATTCAAGATATCCTCACTAAAACAACTAGTAGAAGTGTGATTTTGAGAACGTCTCTCCCGTGCCTCTGCACTTTTTTAGAAGACGGACCATATCGGGGCTGGATCCGCCGCACACCCATAAAGATCCAAAAAAATAAACGCGGGACTAATAATCACAGCGAGCCGATGATTTGGGCAGATTCATGCCACATGAAAGCAGCAGATTGAATTGCTTTTCTGCCATTAGATGAGCCTGTGCTGGGGTATTGATGTGGCATGAATCTGCAAGCAGTTCATAAAATTACGAAGATCTGCGAAAATAAACGACAAAAAGGACGCGATGATAATCAAGGAATACTGTAAAGAACGCGAAGAAAATGCGATCATCTAAAAATAAAGGATACAATAGATTGAGAATGGACCATAACAAGACAAAAAAAAACAAAGAAAAGACGGAGAAATTTGTGCCAGCACTTGAATACATGAAGGGGTCTTTAATAATTGAAGCTACGACATTTGAATATCGCTGCACTCCCCGCTTTAAAAAGACCCCTGCACTGACAACGCCCCCCCCCACCCACGCGATCAAACACGACCCCCTGCTGCGATTATCACAACGATTGCGAGCCCTGGATGGAGGACCTCCGATACCTGTGAAGCGATCTAACCGTTGACGGTAGCGTAGGCAAGGCAATAGAGGCCAGAATAAATGCGGCCTCGGTGAAATAGAAAAAGCCCATTGGCACCGTATGCGACCGACCGTGTTCCAGGACGCTTAAGGGCAAAGTGTGCCGTCCACTAATAAGGCCTGCAATCCTTTACTGCAGCAAGTGCTGGCCCCAATGCAAGAACCATGAAAGGCAGCTCCATTCAGTAAAAATGAGGATGCTGGGATGGATCTGCTTCCGGACACGTCTAGAAAGAGTTATAAACGAGGACCCAAGTCCATTCACACAGACAGCTGCGATCCAGTTTGGTGTATTAGAGCCACGACTGCGATGGTACGGACACGTTCTATGGGGACCTAGAAATCCCTCAATAAAGAAAGTTCTGGACTTCGGAGTACAGAGGAAACGACCACGGGGAACCCCGAAGAAGAGGTAGAATGGCGTCAAGCGGACTCACCGAGGTGTAGCCACGGCTGAAGATGCCTGAATAGGTTGACGTAACGACGTAGTAACGTAATTAACGAGTCAAAGAGGTGGTAGGAGGGCGAACTTATATGCCGCTTGGGACCCATCGGGATTCCTGTCATGGAGGAAGGACACTCGACAGATCAGTAATCATGTGAGTGCGGCCGAGCCCATAGAGCGAAAGAGTTTAGTGGTATTTTGGAGGAATCACTGCAACGGGCCCTCAATTGAATAAAAAGTAGTAGTGCGCGGCAACACGTGTGAGTTGGCGAGCTTTCTCGACCTTTGCACGTTCTGACTTACTGTGAGGTCGAGGGGTCTAGGGATAATGGAACGCAGCATTTTTCATGCCACTTATGGACAAAGAGCTAAAGTCAGGCTGAACAATTCTGAAGACTGCGAGGTTCACGTTTTTCAATTAAGAAGTCCCCTTCACCATTCCCTAAAAACTGGCCATTCCACACAATCCAAGAACGTGGAGGCCACCACCACATTTCTAGCACTTCTGCTCAAACCAATTCTGCTAAAACACTGATAAAACAATATTGGTTGCCTTAAGCAGGAGGAATAGCAAACAAATAACGGCTTCTCACTACCCCTGTTCAAAGTACGCGCCATTTCCTGAGAATCAGGGAAAGTTGGAAAACTCGTCCACATTGCTTTTCAACGTAAGGTCGTTACTTAATTCTACTTCTTTTCATGAGTTTTCCATTGTTCACTGTATGTAATGCGTTTCGCTTGTCGAAGTTATGCTACATTTTGAAGCACACTTCTACATTTCACTAAAAATATTACTGAGTCTGACGGGCATGGACGAGTTTCCCGATCAGCAGATGCAACGTTGTTGGATTTTCGCCATGGATCACATATGTTTTGACTATTGAGTTGATTGTTGATAATAGTCGTTGGTTGATATGATTCTATGAATCTTATCATCGTATCAGCGAAGGATCTCAGTGATCGCCGATTTTAGCCGGACTACCTTAACCGAGACTTGTTACTCGAAACGTAATTTCAGATGTTGTAAGTACAATATGAATTTGTCCTGGGCTAACCAATTCGCTAAAACTGCCCTCAAAACTGCTCAACAGAAAATCGACAGTGTTCTCGATATAAGACCAGATGAAGAAGAAGCTGACGTATCAACCGCGGTAAGTACGCTACTTCCATGAATTTGTAATTCCGTTACCGATATTAGGTTTGTTGATTATAGCCGGCGTAATAAATGAAGGTGAACCCCACTTTTTTGGGATTAGTTGAAAAATTAAAGCAATCTCTTTTATACAGTTCATTTTGTTCGAAATTTTATCTTTTGTTAAGTTGCGCTACATTTATTTGGCATTTTAGTACTTCTAGTCGTGAATCCCAGGTAACTACGATCTAATGATTTCCGTATAATTGTGAAATATGTAGTAAAGTATAGCATTGGAAAAAGTCCGAAAAAGTTGACTTCATGAGTGCCATGTCCTGTATATGGTATTCTACCAAGCTGTGGTAGTGAAACTTACATTTTTTTCTTTGAAGGATGTGATCCCCGATGATTTGCTTCTTAACCCTGCTGTACCACTTGCTATCAGCGAAGAGGTACGCCAATATTAATATTACGGCTCAAAATGTACAAGTTTTATGCTTACTATTCCACGGTACTATAGTATTATCGCTGTCCAGGTAAACGTACCTGCTCCACCAGAGACTTCGGCACTTAACGGAGAGGGCTGGTCAAACGCATGGAATAGCGTCTCAGCCGATCAAGAGGTAATAGATCTCGGCGAAATTGTTCATTTTCTTTTTTTTGCTTTTCTCTGTGTGTGCTCCTCTCCTTCTGTTTTGTTTTTTGTTTCTTTCTTCTATATTTGGAACCTAATTTCTGTGAATTTTGTTACTGAACGTTATGTATTTGTCGCGGAACAGTCGTGCATTGAAGATTCCCTGCAAGAGGAGCCATATTTGGCCTGGAGAGAGGGAGGTGTCGCACCTGCCGTTGAGGGAGATGCTCTCTGTTACTGGTTTTTACCGGTTTTGTTGCTCTGTGCACCTCCCCCCCCCTCAGGCTCGACAATTTCGGGGGAAAATGTGGAAGAGTCATTGAAAAAAAAAACTGGGGAACTCGAGAAATGTTGCGAAGATGGTTGGTAGGATGGGGAGGGGGGTAGGGGGACGTAATAGAGCGGAATTTCATGGTTGGGGTCATGTTTTGCACACATTTTTTCTAAAGGGAGGACGTGCCCTGATCGGGAATGAGGTACTGATTCGTATGAAAACCAACTGATGTAATTTCAGCTCGTTGTGGACTCTGAGCCAAATCCTATCAGAGACGAATGCCCTCAAACATCGGCATCATTGTTCGACCATTCACCTTCCTCGGTTCATTTTTTTTCATTGATTTTTTCTTACCCTTTTCAAAATGAGAGTGGGTGAACGACGGTTCATCAATCATCAGCCATTTCAGAACTCATCCGATGGCATAGAGGCTGGGCAATCTCCGCAGAAAGTCAGCGACTACGAGGAGAGCAAACGCGTGAGTGATAGCAAATCTCTTGTCTTTACTTGCCTATTTCAAGTACTCAAAAGGTTCAGGTGGAAAGTGGTAATATCGAGAAGTCTGTGTACGTCGACGTGGATTTGTCTGTGCCAAGTCCGGACGAAGCCCAGTTCGCTTCGTCTTCAGAGACCATTCAGGAAGACAATGTCCCACCACGTAATTTTCAGAATTAGTCCTTCTCATTTGATTGCAGTCTTGTTCACTGCGGATGCTGGGGCGTTTTAGGAGGGGGCGGGCTAATTTTGACTTGGCGGGAGCTCAGTTCTCATCAGTTGTTGCTTGTTCATTCAACATTTGGTGGCAAACAGGCTATCGCCGTCTCTACCCCTCCCCTCCCCTGAAACGCACCCCCCCCCCACCTCCCTAACCGTAGCGAACAAAACTACGATAGGTACAGTATGAGTTAGCCATGACGATGGCAAATATTTCAGCATTGTCAGACATCGTTCGCGAAAATTCTCATCAAGATGATTCGTTAACTGTAGCCTCTAGTGATATTGAAGTTATTCGCAATGTAGATGCTTGGTATGCTACCCGCATTACATTTCACGTTGTAATATTGATGTTATACAGGTACTTTCCAGGTCCATTATTAGTAGTAAACCTGGGACAGATCAGATGCCTTCTCATGTGTCGACATCAAAGGTGATCTTTTAATTTAGCACATGTTTTGGTTTTTTATTTATTCACAAGCTCTAGCTTTCGCCACTTTACTGCTTCTGCCCCAGTTAGTGGAGAAATTCAAGATAATGAAAAAACCGATTTTTCAACGCGGTAGTAGTGTCGCTGACGCATCATTCTTTGACCAGCATTAGAGAAAATCTGAAATTATACCTTCTACTTTATTAAATACTCTTTGGGTTTTCGAGGCGCTGTGCAGTAGCCTGCTCAAATGTCATCATTTCTTGCTTTAGTTACCTTATTCTAGGAGTCAGTACTACGGTCGTGATGCAGTGTGCCAAGTAGCCGAAGACTCTCAGCAAAATTACTTACATCGGCTAAAACGCTATGCAATCTTAAAAAAGGCGGATGGGTTCAACAGCACGCAAGCCCATTTTTTCCTTTTATTTTTTCGACAGGCGACGATGCTGTATCATTTCGTCCATATTAAGCCGCTTTTCACCAGTTCTTATCGCTTTTCCACGTCAAACACTGGTGGAGAACGTGCTGGTGGCGCGCTAAACCACTCCTCAGTGATACGCCCCGTCATCCGCAGCGAACGAGTATGAAACTTCCGATTGCGTCAATTTAAGCGACTATCATGGACGAACTTGAAGCAGACTTCAGCTGTAACTGCTTGTAAGGTTCTATTCCACGCTAGTACTTTTGGCCGGGGTCACTTGGTTAAGTGCGTCCTTCTTCCAAGACAGCAGTAAAGGGGTGGGAGCACCAGTGAGGAAGCCGTAGGCAGCGTTCAGACTTCGCGACGGCGAAGCTTCTGTCGCGTGCTCCACGCCGATCGATTTAGTCGAAAGCATGCGCATCGATCGCGCCGAACGCGCGACCGAGGCGCTGCCGTCGCGAAGTCTGGACGCTGCTGTAGTGGTCCAGTAGACTCCACCCATACGAACAGTGCTGAATTTGTCTTCGGAGCGAAATGCTAGCTAACATATACATCATCTTCGTTCAGCACGATGGTGCCGACTCATTTCGAGCCCAACTTCTGCATGCTGAACAACGCAGGAATGAACTGAAAGCAGCGAATGATACGTTGCAGTCAAATAATGCGCAACTGCAACAACGAATTATTCTCCTAAATCAGCAGTAAGTTTCTCTGATCCTGGGTTTTCTAGCGAGCTCTTTTTCTCAACGGTTCGCCTTCCCGCGGTGGCGTGTGATGTCTTTTGGAAAGGTTTAGCTTTGCTTTTCCCTTTTCTTTCTCTGCTCTCTCCTGTTCTCTTTGGGCTTCACCCTCTCTCACTTTTTTTTGCAAACTCTAGTTAACTTACAATTTCTAGGCAGTCATCCCTGAAAAAGGAATTAGAGGGCAAGAAGGCAGAACTAGAAGATCTCTTCGCTGAAGGTATAAAATTCTGCCTTCTATACTATATCCTGATTATTGATTATTTTTTTTCCATAATTTAGGTAAGCGTCTCTCCGATCACTCTGGGAAGCAAGCTCGTGAGATTAGACGACTAAAAAGTGAGCTAGCTGAGCTGGAGAAGATAAAAGCTGAGCGCAAACGTCTCAAGGAAGAAAAAAGTAGAGCTGAGGAAACAATCGATCTCCAAAAGGAAGAAATCACGTCTCTTAAAAGTGGGCCCAACTAGAATTTTGCTCTTTCCAGTATACGCTGTATGCTCCGTTACTATTGTAGGCATGGTCAAGCAGCTGGAATCGAGCTCTGAACAACTACTGAAAGAACAGTCTATGCGTGCAGCAAGCACTGAGGTAAGCTCACTATCTTCTGGGGTTCTTTTGTGGTCCTGCAGTTCGTATAATTGTCCTCTGTTATCAGGTTGCTCAGAAGCATGCACTAGAGCAGAACAAGTTAGTAGCAGAACTTGAGCGGGATTTATCAGAAGCTAGGAGAAGAATAGACGAACTTTGTGATTACAACAAGGTGCGTCTTTGCTCAAAATTTTCGTTTTGCTGCGTTTATGCTTCGCAGCAACGTCTCCCAGCGACCAGGGAAGTTAAGAGTGGTCTAGCGAACGCCAGCTCCCATCAACGTCCAGGAGTGGAGAGTGTGGGGAAGTAGGAGGGTAGCAGACTACTGTTATAGTATGGGGAAGTAGAAGGGAGCAGACAGCTGGATTAAGCGTGATGAAACTGCAGCGTGTGCAACGGCACCACACAACTTTTAAAACATAGAATTATGCTATTCAATGTACGGTATTGTGTAATAGTTTGATGAGTTGCACACGCTTCAACTTCACAACGCTTAATCCAGCTGTATGCTCACTCCTTCTTCCCCGTACTCACCACTGGTGGACGCCTGTGTTCACTGGGTTGATTTTCAGATTGATTTTCTATTCGCTGCTATTCGCGGACGCCTGAAACGCCGATGGTCGCTGGTGGTGAACGCTGCCGCAAACCATGAACGCATCCTTTCGCGAACTTCCCACGAACTTTCGAAAAGTTTTTTAGAAGCTAACTAGAGAAGCGGAGTTGATGCAGTCTGCCAATTGGTCCGAGAGATTAGCTGGAGAACGCGCTCATGAAACTGTAGCAACCATTAACACTGAACTGATCGAAGCTCGTGCTCATATCGGACGTCTTCAATCACAACTACAAAGCACAGAAAGTGTTAGTCGTTTACTGAGAGTTTTTCTTGCTATTGATGAAATTGTGTTTCAACCTCCAGTACCAGTACGTATTACTGTTTAGCACATCGTGATTTGTTTTCCATTTCAGCGACTTGAGGTTGTGCTCAGTGAGCGAAATAGTGTGGCAGAATCAATTTCTCAAAGTAAGTGGTGCTCGCTGTTCCCATCTGTACTAGGGTCTTTCATAGTTGTAGAAGTGTAATTTTCTAGGCAACATTCCATTATTGGAGGAAATCAACAATCTGAAACAGCAACTTTACCGTGAACAGAGCGCCAATGAGGAGTCAGACATAAAGATACGAACTCTCAAAAGAGAACTTACTGCTGTGACGGAACAATTTGGCAAACTTAGAGAGATTGTAGGTTGTGCCGTCTTATTAATTTTTGCTTCTGGTAGAACTCATCGTTATGATGGGAAAAATTCAATTCCTGACTGACAACCTATTACACCATCCTGACTGACTACCTATTACACCGGGTCTTGCTTTACTAATTACCTTTTCTAGTCCGTCCTTTGATCTCGTATTACGAGCACGACATGGCAACTATGACGTGTTCTCCTGACTATTGCATCGGTTTTCTAGAATTGCTGAGGGGGGGGGGGTGGATGGCCTGTGATGGCTGAGAAGGGGTTACGTGACTGCTCGATTCTATAATGGCGAAAAAAAAATGGAGATAAAGCGCAGTTAGTAAAGACAGGCTGTATACTCACTTCTGAGGAAGGTCCATCCTATGAGCGAGGTGTATGGGTCCACAACTGCAAAACCGTGCCGCTTTCTTCGCACAGAAATGTACGGAAATGGGGCTGGAAAGTAGTGATACCCGGTGCCGGCTCTTCACTTCGCCCGGGCTATCCTCAAGGAGCAACGCTTGCGCGGATAACAAGTTCCTACAAAGGAACAGATACTCAACGGTAGAGAACAACCAGGAGCGAGAGAAATCAGACGGGTAGGCGCATTTGGCTAAAATTAGGCGTATGGCTGACCGCGCGACAGCGCTAGGCCGTCTGTGGATTCAGCACCGGTGTATCTCTAGCAGTAAGCCTCGTTCCTGTGGAGTTTTGAACGGCGAAAGTGACGTGCTACTGCTGCTGTTGATCCATTCAACTCATACATGGCAAGGGTCAGAATCCAATGAGGTGAGAGTGCAGTTTGTCTTGAAAGGACCTTTCCAGCCCTCGAAGGTTGCGCAGGAAACCAGAACGAGGGGGACGTGCCAGCTCCAGTTCATAGAATTATGTGTGGAGAGCGGCTTGAAAACGAGTTCAGGCAGTTTGAGCACCTCTAATTTGACGAACTATTTCACTTACAATTCTGACCTGTTCAGAATGAGTCAATGGTAATGAATCATCATCAGGAGTTGACGGTAGTGAATCAGAAGATACAGCATCTTGAACGAGAGCTAACACTGTAAGTTTTACCGACACTAAGTTACTTGTTTTCATGTCTCTGCGCAGTATTTTGTTCTTTTTCTAGTGTACATGAAGCAAGAGAGAACGCTATGACGGAATACAAATCGGCACGAGCTGTTGATGCAGCTGCGCTGGAGAATCTGCGAGAGGAGAATGCGGTGCTGTTGAATGATATTTCATCCCTTCGAAACACCTTGAAAGGGCTCGTGAGTTGTATTTAAATGCGATTTGGTCATTTAATCAATGCTAGAACTGCGCAGATGACTTGATTTATCCGCTTCGGAGTAAGAATTATCGCTCGCATAGTGCATTTCACAACAAGCAGAAGGGCAGGTGGGGGCGACAGTGAGATAGACAAGAAGTTGCATGGGTTCAAAATCCATCGGCAATTCACACGACATGTCTTGACTTAAATTATTGTGTAAATTTAAAGTAACGCAAATTATCAGTAGTACCATCCCCCCCCTCCCCCCTCCCCGGAGCTCGTGATACAGTAGCAGTAATTTGTTTGAAAGCAACTGAGCAACCCTGTCATTCAGCTCTATTCTGTGAAAATGTGGTAGTACCTTGACAGATCCCCAGGCGAGTTCCTCTTTTCCGAGCAGTTCCAGTAACGGGAACATTCGTCCCTGTTTCGAGTCAGAGTGGCCCAGCGGACTCTCGTAGCTCGAGCGACGCGCAGCTATTCATCCATTCCGTGTGGAGCTTTCAGACAAAGGTCTTACGACTCAATAGGCTGTTGTACAGCTGTTCATTTGACATTCCGCGGGATTAGGTAATCACTTTGGTCTAGTGATAACCATGAAATCACTTGAGATACCGTAACCATCTAATCTTGCATTCCTTGCTTGGTGGTGAAGCGCTTCTCATCATCCTCACCTTCGGGACTCCTGGTTCCGCTTGAGTGTAGCTGCAAGCTCCAAGTGTTGTCCTCTTACCAGTAACCCTGACAGCATGTCCTGCTTCTGCATTGTCTGGCGTTGGAGCGTACGTTTATGCAGGAGGGATTGCAAAATCACGGATAAGGCCCGAAGCCGGATCTTCCTTGTACGCTTGGCGATTCCTGGTTAGTTGTGGCACAAGGTGGAATTAGGCGAACTGTTCTTTATATATATATTTATATTATATATATATATATATATATATATATATATATATATATATATATATATATATATATATAATATATATAATATATATATATATATAATATATATATATAATATATATATATATACCAATTTTCACTTTAAGTTCACCCTTTTACAAACCAAATTCACCCTTTTTCAAACCAAATAATCATTCCGCGCGTTTCAACCAAAGTCACCGTTTTCAAACAAAATCACCATTTTTCAAACAAATTAGCCCACCTTCCAAATCAAATTCACCCCACTTATTATGCCTGCGCAAGTCATCTTACAAATCACGCGGATGCTACTGCGAGCCCGCCCCCTCGGCCGCGCCACACTGCTTTTGGCGGAATTTTGAATATTTTTTTCAAAATTATTTTGCATTTTTGGACTGCGCCGTGAAGCCCCCGCCCCAGTTTGAGAGGCGGGGGCTTTGAAGAAGCCCCGCCCACTTTTCAAAAATGATTGAAAAGTCGAACAGTAATAAGGTCTTGGCCTGAGTCACACAAACTTTGCCCTGATTTTCTTGTTACGAGTGAACGAACGAAGACCCTAGCATGAAAGCCAAGACTTTATACTGTTGACTTGCAATCATTTTTGAAAAGTGGGCGGAACTTCTCCCAATGTGGCGCGGAGCCTCTCATCACTGGCGGGTTCACGCAGCAGTTCCAAAAAATGCAATATTTAAAAAAAATGCCGCCAAAGAGCCAAGTGCGAGGGGGCGGGCGCCCGCAGTACGCGTCCGGCGTGATTTGGTAGATGACTTCGCAGGCCTAATAAGTGGGGTGAATTTGCATTTGGAGGCGTCGGCGAATTCCAATTTGCGAAGCTCGTCGGGTGAATTTGGGTTTGAAAAATGGGTGATTTGTTTTTTGAAAACGGGCGGTGAACTTTCGGTTGACAAAACGGCTCGGAATTTGGTTGGAAAAAGGGGTGAATTGTGGTTTGAAAAGGGGCTCCACTTCCGCGTGAACTTTAGATGTGAAAAGGGATATTGTATATATATATATTATATATATAATATATATATAATATATTATATATATATATATATTTATATATTATTATATATATATATATATATATATATATATATATATATATATATTATATATCATTATGATGATATTATACATATATATATATATATATTATACTATTTGAACGCGGTTTATCTAGCGCTAGATTACTAGCGTCGTCGTTGATACGCTCTTTTCTTCGCAGCCCAACGGTGGGTTTTTCAATGGGGTCGAGAGTTTGGCGTAAGACCAGCGCTTACTTTCTTTTATTTTCTTTGGCAGTGCGCCAGACTGCATCAACATCGTACCGCATCGATCGTTTTCACGGAGTTGTTGTCGGTTAGGCAGCGCATCATACTTGTAGCGCTATCGGTCGCGCTACAGGCCGTAGCCGTACAGCGTCGCGCTACTGCGTCGCGCTACAGCGTCGCGCTACAGCGTCGCGCTACTCGCGTCGCGCTACAGCGCCGCTTCGCAACGTACTGCAATTTCCAACGTTAGGATGATTAGAGTTGCTTACAGAGAAAAGTGGGAAGGTTGCTTGGAGTTTCTTGAGAAAATTCACGGGAAAGCATGAGACTGATAAAGCTTGTTACACGTCTGACCATCCTTGACAGTTACTCCATTAATCACTATTTTTCTGGTACTGCTTTTAGCGTAACAGTGTCCTTCTGTCCTATTAAGAGCATTTTCTGCAAAAAACACCCAAAGAGTACTCGGGCCACCTAAAAACACGCACGCATGTTTTTTTTTTACCGGAGACACAGAACCATAAAGGAACTTCTTGTTTGCATTGTGCTAACGCATTGGTGATCCGACAGTCTTCGCGTGCGTGTTGTGGGAGATAAGGCCATTTTTTTTCTGCTGCCGACAAATGCGACTCATAACTGATACTCTCCTAGGCCAAAAAAGTACAAGAAACTGTCAGGCTTTTTTGGCTGTGAATGCCTAAAACCGGCATAAATCTCTTTCCTGTGATCCAGGCAGAGATTGGGGGCAAACTCTAAAAGCAGATTTCGCTCCATAATCGACAAGCGGCATTGGGGCATTGAATTCTGTATTCATTCTTTCTGTATTCAATCCTCTTCTCTTTGTTTCTCATATTTATCTAATAGTGAGCTCCTGTTTTCTACTTTATCACATTTTAATGTAGTTTCGCAATCGGGATCAAAACGAGGCAGCACTGCAAGACATCAAGCAAAGCCATCAAACCCCAAGCAACTGTGAAACCAAATAATTAAAGTCAAAAACGATAAATAAAACCAATTTTCACAGTCTTCTGTATCAAAAACTACATCAAATGTGATAAAGTAGAAAACAGGAGCTCACTATCAGATAAATATGAGAAACAAAAAGAAGAGGATGATATAGAAAGAAAAAACATAAAAGCTGGAGTTCGGTACGGCTGTAGCGCAGCTGTAGCGCTACGCTGTAGCGCGACACTGTAGCGCGACGCTGTAGCGCTGCAAGTATGAACGCTGCCTTACCTGACTCAGCAGCTGATGGAGAATGGGTTGGCCTTGCAACAAAACCACCCTCGCTGACACGCTACCTGATCCGAAACGAATAGCGAACAGATTGAATCTTCCGCAAGTGCGAATTTCCTGGAAAATATCTCAGTAATCGATGAAGTTGTTAGAGACTGTTTTTTATATATTTTTCAGAAAGATGAAAATGAAGGGTTGAAGGCGTCGCTTGAGGAGGCACGAGCGCAGCGAGTACTCCCACCGCCGGCTGAGAAAGCGGCCAAGGTACAAGCTCAGAAAGATTCTGGTCAACTTGAGAGCAGCTCGTTGGGTGAAGTTGTTCTGCCAACATCACAAGTAGCACCGTTCTCATTGACTCCGCCTCAGAATGCGACAGCTATTCTTGTAAGTCTTTCTTATACTGCGCTAAGCATACCACTTTTGTTGAGTAACTATCCTTTGCCTCATGCGGTTGACGTTATAGCACGACATGTCGCTGAAGAGGATCAGCTTTTTGGAGCAGGAAGCTTTACGCTGTGGTCAGCTAGAAGACCAAGTCCGACAGCTGAAAAAAGAGCTTCAGGTTCGTAACGGTTTCGGTTTCCCTTCTTCTCCCTCTATGCAGAAGCTCCGTAGTGTCTGAACTGAGCATGGCTTGGGTTTTGAATTTTGTTTTGTTTGAAAAGATTTGAGAGATCACTTTCAAATGTTCTCATTCCGTAGACGCTCTGTATTGACCCGAAAGCTGGGTCATTCCTATGTGCGCGATGGGTAGGTCTGCGGCAATAGAAGTGCAGCACTCCCGTAACTCGAATGTGGCTCCACCCGCCATTCGATACGCAATACGAACACCACAGTCACGCCATTCGGCCAGTCATACGCCTGAGTGTAGTCACGTGACGCCTCACCACAGCCACATTGCTGGTTGCATGGTGCGGTTGTGACATGTGTATCCCGTATTGAAGACGAACAGAGACAGAGAACATCACGCTGCCCCAACCTTCAGCTTCATCACCTTGCCTTTTCCAATGGTGACTCAACTGCTGACGTGCCCATTTCACATACGGAGAATATCCACGTTCCAGGTAAATGTGGCAGGTGTGGCACGACAATTTGGTACTCGACCTAAAATGGAATCGGGTGTGGTATATTGTGGAAAAATGGCCGAAAAACGGAGTTAAGCGGTACACTACACAGAAAGCGATTTCGGACGAGTTTCCCGCTGGTATTGGGCTAGTAACCGCTACGGTAGACAGGGCTGCATGTATGTACTGATATATGCAAGCAGCTCCGCAGCGGCTTCATATCATCCCTTCGCTTCATATTTTGCTCTGCCAGTTAAGCGATACAAGCATCAGGCTCAGTGCTCCATTTGTGGGCGCGCGGCTCATTATGTTGCAGCTTGGTAGGGCGGCATAAGAGTACATCCTTTGGAAGAGGTGCCACGCAGCGCTGCACAGGAGCGCCGATTTTGTCCTGCTAGGCGTATCCTACACGTCTTGGCGATTTATCGGTGCCTTTTGCCTTCAAGGAGGGTATTGTATAAGATTAACTTTCGATGGTAAATTGTTCTTTGATCGTGAATTTTGTAGGTCCTAAATCAGCAATATAACGGGTTGCTGGTGGTCGACGGAGAAAGGCTGGAGAGAATTGAGGAACTCGAGAATGATGTCATTGATCTCCGCCAATTGTTAAAAGAACAGGTTTCTATAATTTAATTCAGTTCTTTGAATTGATTGAAAACTATCGCGGCCTGTCCAGCAGGTATTGATACGAAAACAGAAATAACCGCCCAAGAAACATTTCAGTGTGAAAAGTTTTTGCAGTCTTGCCTAGTTTAGAAAACCGGTACTACCACTTTATCGCTATTGTTTGCAAGGCGCAAGAACGAATATTTGAAGTCAAGGTTGGCCGGCTGGAAGTCTCTTCATTTTGTTCTTTCGTAGTGAGTTCACTAAAGACGTTTCAACCGTCTCTGGAATAATCTGGTCCCCACATGATTTCAAATGTGTCGCTTTTATGGTGATGCGGTCCTTGAGACGTGTCACGGGTGTCTGGGTCTGGCGCAACGCCAGCCAGTTTTCCACCAATTGTAAAAGCTTGTCAGCTTCACAATTGGTGGAGGAATGACTGGCGCCGGAGCCGAGCTTGCCCTGGCACGCCCCATAGTCTGCAGCGAACAAGGCTATATTGGATGGGCTGGTCTTCGATCTCAACTTAGGCCCCTGTCCTGAGGCTTTTCGGGTCCGTGTAAGGGATGCATGGGAAAGATCAAGTATTGGCTATATGTGGGATGAAGGATAACCGTTTAGCTCCACGGTGTTAGTTCCAACATGATCATCCCTACAACGGAGTCATATACGCAACGATCAAGGTTTGCGCGTCTGAGATGGTGCGACATAGAACAGCTTTTTAACCGTTCTCAGCCAGTCCTGTGCAGGTAATGACCTATATGGTTCCGAAATAGCTTCCCCTTTGGTGAAAAGAGGGAACCTGATTCCACCGGAGGACAGTGCTCCATCAAGTTCAGATTCAGGCATTCGAGGCTGAGATCCTTTCTAAATTTGCAGGTTTCTGCTTCGAAAAGTTGGTATGATTGTGGGATAACTGAGGCGTCGTATATGTCTTTTATTAATCCCGCGGTGGATTTATGCTCGAGAGTGTTTGTGGAGGATGAATTGTAGTTGGCGTAGGTGCTCACAACAGCACGTGAGGTTATTCTTTTCACTGCAAAAAAGGATTGCAGAAATGGGTGGGTGTTATTGCTAACAGCACTTTCCTATCTTCTTGAAGTCAAGATTGGCATCCCACAATCTCCCGATGGGTAATATTTCTCCTTAAACAAGTAGTCCGAATTGCGATCTCGGAAATTGTTCTACTTCCAAGGTTCATCAGTGTGTGGCAAGGGGTCACATTGCCATAAACTGAAGAGCTGTCGCATCCATCTGGAGACGAGATATGTCAAATGCAGGTGTGACGTGTGTGTGTGTGTGTGTTGTGTGTGTGTTGTGTGTGTGTGTGTGTGTGTGTNGTGTGTGTGTGTGTGTGTGTGTGTGTGTGTGTGTGTGTGTGTGTGTGTGGGGGAGGTCGAACTGTCGTCTCTCGTGACATCCTGCACTGTTCCCGCTTTCTCGTCCTTTGCCTTCACGGACCACTGCTCCAATCAAAGGGCTTCATTTATAGCGTTTTGAACGTTTTTGCCTCCGCATTCCTTTACTACTAAGTCAATTAGCATTTACTCATCCATGTTCGCACCTCAAACCTCACGAATTGTAATTGCAAAATATGCCTCCATCGTAAGGTTGTAGCCACTATGATTTATGTATTTCTACAAAACATTTTATGACGACGTTGTGGCCCATATATCGTTTCACCTCGTTCCACCAACTGACCTTTCCCTACTCATCTATTTGACGCTTTTCCAGGATTGCACCCATATTCGTATTATTTGAAGGTTTTGCGCATGTGGGCGGGGTCTAGCGCCTTTCTGTGTGGTCCTTTTCCCTAAAGATAGTTACCGGGGAGCGGGAACGTTACGTTGTACTGCGTACTAGTACGTTGTACTGTACTCATGTACTGCGTTGAAGCTTGACCTGCGTGCGAATCTTCTTCCTCAGCGTTTGTCCCGCTCTGTACGTCCACTAACGCTGACTGCAGCATTTCTTGGGTCTTTGCAGAGCAGCGCGTGTTGGTAACTGTTTTTGTTGACGTCTTGTAGTAAGAGTATAATAGAAGTCTCGTGGATGATATAAGCTCAAAGTACTCGCGAAAGCGCTAACCGCTTGCGACGAGGCCACGGCTCCGCCCACTAGCCACCGCAACGCCCAGCTTTTATTTCTAAAGTCTTCCTGGTGATGCTGATGTTCTTTTACTAGTTCCCTCCATTTTGAATGGTGAGAAAATAGTAATAAGAAGTAAGATCTGGCACCATCAACGGAAGAAGTCGCGCCCTTCCTGCCCTTATACACGTACGAATACGCGATTTAGCACCCGGTTCCACATGGAGCATTTCGAGCAGGTTTTGTCTGCACTTTTTCTTCGTTTTCGAGTTATTACCGCGTCTTGTCGCTAGTATTTGAGCTGCACAACTGGCCGTTTCCAAGCATGGAGCGTGCCTTCAATCGTCATTCTTCATGACGTACCGGGCCCACTCACCTCTTGTTCTTGCCTGTGATGAGTCGACTTTAGTTTTCATCTCCAGTGAGCTTCACCCAGCTTCCAGCTGCTAATATACGCGACGAGTGAGAAAAGAAGGATGGTGAAATCAATCATTTACTTAAATGTGGGAAATTTTCTGTAAGAAGCCTGCGCTCGTGCTCTCTGAAACACGCGCTATTGCGCAAGCAGTCGTGATCCCAGTAAACGGCCAGAAAAGCTATTCCCGAAAATTGCTCTATACTTGGGATGGCATCGTTGATGGAAAGGCCGCCTTGGCAACGCTCCAGTCGACGCCCCGTCACACGCCCTATCGTTTGCAGGGATCACGGCTGTAAAACAAACTGCTACCTGTCATCGAATAGATTATACCACTATCTTCTCATCTATGAAATGATTCACCATGTTGCTTTTTGTCTTGATCTTATCTAACTTGTGCTTTCTGCTCATATTCTACCTAAAGTTTAATTTGGTTTCTTACTGTCCGTACTGGTTGTGGAAGGGTCAAAGTCCACCACTTACCACTATTTTTTCCTACTTGTCTTTCCACAACTGTTATTGTGCACGGAGAGTTTTTCCTGCACGCTCTGACATGGTGCTGAAGGGTGGAGGTAGCATAGCGGCAAGTGATGTCGCTCACTTGAACACTCCGTGCATCGAACCCTGGATCGAACTCCTCGCAGGTCAAACATGTCCTCGCCATACGTGTTCGACAGAGGAATGCAAAATCATTTTGTAGAGGTGAAAAACACATTGGCTGACTCTTACAAGCGATTGTGAAGGCTGGATATTTTTTTCTTGAATGTCTATATTTTGAGTGGAAGTCGAATGTGTGGTTCATCCCGAAAGCCGGGTTTGTTAAGCCGACTGCTTCACCTGCTCTTACGAAAATATTTCCGTGAACGGTCGCCCTTCAACGACGATTCCCGCCAACAGATATTGTGGTTACTGGGCGTCCAAATATCAACCAGTAGCCGCCAAAAGACTCTACAGTGAAGGAAAAAAAGCAAAAGGAAGCTTCAAAAACGCATTAAACAAAACCCATCCGGGTCCTCACAACTTGCTGGCAAATAGACACCCTGCGGCCTCTGCACAGGGTGTCCACTTTACTGGCAGAGGCTCACAAGTCGTTTCTAACATCCTCCTGTACCAAATGCCATCGAAAACTAAAAAACGACAACAAAAATACTGGGGTAGAACTAGAAGAAAGTTTTCAAGAATTGTACGCACGAGTTCGACTAGAGCACGCAGTGGTGCGAGCAGTGAGGATAGGTGGATGCTCACGATCACGAATGAGGGGGATATCTATTATGGGCAGAGCCATAAAAGCGACGCGATTAAACTCAAATCACCAGGTCTGACGTTTTCAGCGTACACTTTCGAGTAAGGGGGGGGGTACACTATGTGCAACTACAGACCTTATTATCTTATACAGGGAAGGAATTCTGTCTAGCGACTAGGCACGGTGCCCTCCAGTAAACTTTGTGACACTGAAAATAGTGTACCGTGATCTTGGATGTGCTTGCAGTGGGGTGTTTAATGAACGAGACGCATCAACTAAGATACCCATCTTATAAAATAGAAATTCGAGAGCTCAATTACTAGCTATTAATTCTGAATTGTGCAGTCATGATCTCTGCAAACGATAGGGCGTGTGACAGGGGACGGACTACAGCGCAGCCAGGGTGCCGTTTTCCCGCCTTTTCCGCCAATGGTGCTTTCCTGAATCCGATACAGCTGGTGATGGGAACGTTTATCAGGCTGCGCCTTAAGCCATGCCTCCGTCACACGCCCTATCGCTTGCGGGGTTCATAAGTATGCCTAGTTTATATCAACTGAATTCGTTTCAAAAGACCACTTACTTGGGGGCATTGTGATATAAACCTGTAAATATGACCACAATTAGCATCTGTCCCCATTTTTTCCACAACTATCTTGCTATCCAAAAAAAGAAATTTATTGCTTTGGCCCTGCTCCTGTTTACCATTCCTATTTCTGACATCTTGTTTTTCCACTTTGCAGTTGAGTAGAAGATGGCTAATTGCGTTATTTTTCTAACGATCGTAGTTCGTCGATCATGATTGAGAACGGTATTAAAAATGGTCATGAGAAAATGATATTGATTGCCGGTATTGTTCTGAAGGTAGAGTGGAGGTAACAGTAAAGCCAGAACAGTGTGTCGTGGTCAACCCCTGAACAACAAGTGAAAAGCGAAATTGTTGCCGGAACGGCTTTCCCATAGTCTTTATGAAAATTACACAGCGTTGAAATTAATTGCTGTGGTTATCAGCGAGAATCTCTGGAAAACAGTCCTCTGAGGTTTTTTTTGGGCATACTGTTTCAATTACTATTCAGTCACGTTTTGATGATACCGAGTACTCCACACCGAAATCTTATTGGGAGTTTCCTTGAACACACTGACGCATTCGCATCAGAGAAAGTCTACAGTTTCCATGTGAACATGAAACTTTGATTTGAATTGTTAGATCAACAATACTCCATTCTGTCAGGATTCAGTAGAACGAGCCGGCTTCACCTCCTTTCCACAGACAGATCCCGCTAT